TATACACAATGATGATTAATCTGCTCCTTTAACTGGATTTACTCTTGCAGTAAAACCCAGTCCTAGAAGAATTGATGTGCCAAGTTACAAAGAAACATACCAGATAAAGTTAGAGTTATTTACCAAGAGGGTGGGTTTAATGTTTTGCACTGTGATACATGTATGGAAAGAAGAACTTCTTTGGTTGATAAACATATACATCTGTTAATGGTAATATATGCATTTTCAATCCTCCTGCAGCATAGGAAAATTGTGAAGAAAACTCTCTGAAAAAAAACCTGTCGACCACCAATTTTTTAAGCACACCAACAGGTGGCCGACAAATGGCTGACATTCATTCTGTTGGTTAGTTGTTGTTAACAATATTATGGTAACACCATGATATTTTTTGTCCAAACATCAGCAAACCTGGACACTTACTTTGACATTCAGTTGGGGCCAGTAGTCACAGGTCACTGAAATTCCTCCAAAAACAAAACAAACAAAAATAGAAACAAAACTCTTGTCATATTCTAGTTACATGTACTCGCATTACCTGTCGCTGATCCCAGCAATGTGCAGGATGCATATCACATAAAAACCTTATCTAGCTCACAAGAGAGTTTTTTGTTTGTCTTTGATAGTGTAATGCAGCATGTACGAAATATTCAAAGAAACTAAAGGGTCAGACTTCTCTGAAATAACTACATGTACGTCATGCACCATGGTAAAGCAGTTAATTTCCTCCGGAAACTATGATCATACTGTGCTTCGCCTTCAAGGCTTTGAGTTCATGTTTTGAGTGATGGTGTAATGTTTATTCAAATTTTCAGATTAGCAGGCTGGAGGAAACTCTTCCTCAACTGTCACTGTTACGAGATGCTAAACTCAGCGTGGTGAGTAGAATGAAGATTACAGTCGCCAAATTTATCCAAACAAACTTGGTAGTAAGTAGCTGGAACATAACCAGGGAAAAAGACGCTGAATGCTTCTAAATGACCCGTCCGTCTCTGTGCGCACAATCTCATAGAAAACCATTGGAAAAACCGACATGGGCTGGGCAGGGTGATATGGGCCGGTTCGATAAAAAGCCTTCCGATTTTCTTCCTTCTGACTCCAAAAACTGAAGGAAAAGGTTTTATTTTAAAACCTTTTTTGTAATTGTCTCGCTTATGAACGTCTTTCGCGTCTTGTTAAGGTTGAAACAAAATTTTCGAAATTTTTAACACGGTGTGTCTGTTTGATATTTCTCTTTACCTTCATTCTGAATTATTACAAGTGTTTTTCTTGCTCTTCACGTGTGCAGGAAGTGAAAAACTTGGAGGAAAGATTAACGTTTTTGAACTCAAAACTCCAGGTACGTTTTGAAAACATCTGTAATTGTGTTTTTGCATAATTAACATGGCCTGAGGGTCTTTGGCCCCTTGGGTTGGGCTGGAGCCTGTTTCATTTTCTACATGAGATAGATTTGCCTGGTGAAAATTCGTCCTTTAAGTCTGTAAAGCTCTGTATATATATCGACCCTTTCAGTAATGGGAGTGTTTCATTATAATTATGTTCTCATTTTGCTAGAGCTTTCGAGATTTATGGATGTACACGGCTCATATTGAATCGCACAATTCCGACCGACGATTATTCAATCATACCGTTCGCATTAATCTCAGAACTACCTTGCCACAAGAATTAGCGAAAAGAATTTCCGATCCTTCCCCAGATGCCAAGCTTTTTTGATCTCAAACCCCTTATCCTTTCTTGCTTATACTTATTACACAATCTATGCATTACCAACTTGTTCTGATGATACTTAATTCTTCCACTCCATATAGGAAGCTGATTCTCGGCAGTGGAAAGGAATGTTTACTAAACATCCTTTGTGGTGACCAGCAAACTCCACACCTGTGTACAGGACCTAGTGTGATTGAGGCGACTAAGTTTAAGTGCTGTTCAAAACTTCTATAAACATGTACAGCCTAAGTGGCGTGTATCATGCATTATATTGTTGAAGTGGAACAAAGTATAGTAAGCTAAAGATCTGCAGTGTGTAAAAAAGGCAAATTACATTGGTAGTCATTTAATTTTGTTTTCTGTCCCTGCCCTATGAATGTCAAGATAAAACGAATGCACAATTCAGATTGCTAGCTGTCTTTTGTTGGAGCATCGAAAAAAATTATTTACTGACATAATTTAATGGCATAATGATACGGATGTATATGGTTCTGCAAAGAATAAGTAGATTTTTCCTTTGTTAACATCCTAGATTGCAATTACCTTCAGGTCAGAATGCATTCTACAGATATCTTAATATCGATATCATTTTCGTGACACAATGCAGCTGGTGATAGCACTGAGTTTCTTTGCCTCTAAGGGTTAAGACTCCCCGTCTGTAGAGTGGAGGTGTCTAGACTATGATTTGGAGAAAAAAAAAATCGAATATAGTATGAAGCCATGCTAATGGAGAGGGATCTAGTTGAGTATTCCTGGATTTTGCTTGTTAGGCTCGAATATTTGACCAATAACCTTTTTGAGATGGGACTGATGTCAGACTTCTCTTAGAAGACTTGACTTCTAGAAGCAAAAGTACGACTGACAGTTTAAAAAAAAATGTCAAAAAGTCTATTTTATCGTATTTCTAGACATGAGCAGCTGTAAGTAACATGGTTCTTGTAGCGAAAGTTTATTTATAGTGGCATTTGGCTGCTCTAAAATATAGCCAATTGTTAATCAAGCACAAACAAGCAGACAAAGGAAACAAAGAAACACTCGAGAAAGGGTGAAAGAGCCAAAATAATGTAATCGAACCCAGAGCTTTTTGGCACTGGAATGGTTAGCTTAATAAAGCTTTATTTGAACTTGCAAGTCCAGTTCCTTGTCAAGGTTTTTCATGCCAATTTTTCCTGGCACAGTAAACTGAATATTACGTCCTAAAATTATGGTAATTATTTTTGTTCGTGATACTTGTCGTCTCATGAGTGTAGATGAATGAACGTAAAAAGTTATCGAGAAGTGTGTATCAGTAACTTTAATCTGGAATTTTGCTGTTGATAAGTTTTCGATGCACCAAGACTTTGTGAAGTTCAAACGCCACTACCTCGAACAAAGCACGTGAAAAGTTATCAGCTAAGACCTTGGGGAGATTCTAACGCCGAACCTTTCATACATCGAACTTTCTACCTCGAACAAATTAAAGCACGTGAAAAGTTCGGCGTCTGAATCAATTAAGGACGCTATCTTCCTCGCTTGGCCGGGATTTTTGACTCGGGAACGGTCATTCAACCTCATCCGAAGGTAAACGTTTCAAATATATACTGTTTTAGGAAATTACAGAACCGCTCCTGTCAAAATTAGCATACATTTGTTTCCGACATAGAATTGTAATTGATAGACCATGTTCCATCGGGTAGCTCAGTGGGCTATTTGCTTTCGAAGTGGAAGTTAAAAATTAAACAAGATTCCACGGAGGTCAACTTCGAGGCAAAGTTGCGGGACGGACTATGCTGCTATTTTAGAGCCCCATGCTTCAAACTGTGTCCCAGATATTCAGAACCTTAACAAGATCCCCTTAAATTCCAAGATTCACAGCATGATGTCATTTGCAAAGAGGTCAACTCCAGTTAATTAATTTGCATAACAGAGGATAACCTAATCAGGAAAATTTACACAGCAAGGGTAAAAAACTTAATAAGATAAATACATTTATAGCTCTCGCGTTCGGCCAAAACAAAGCACTGATATTTGAAAACTGAAGCAATGAATTTCCTGCCTTCCTTCAAATACAAATATCAGCTTATTGTAAGGGCCAGTGAAAGGATATTAGTTATTTTTTGCCTTTAAAAATGTTGTTCCCGAGCAGGTGGACAGCTTCATTTGTATTTTAATTATCTGTGGGTCTATTTTAAAGATAGGTATTTAAAGTTTTAATATTGTTGCTCGATTTGCCTCTTGGCGGCCTATGAAGAAGTTTAGATTGGTGTCATAAGTGCGTTCTAGTGTGAACAAGGAGGAAGATATCCGGTTTTTGGAATAGTCAGACCGACCAAAGAACAAAGAACGACTTAGAAAAGCCTTGGTGGGGTTCATGGCCTTATGAGGACGGTGAATAGAAGGGAAGTTCTTGGAAAAGAACACATTTACTGATCAAAGGTAACTGTATTTGATTTATTTTCATAGGCAAGACGGTTTTTCTGAATGATTTACTTCCATGTATCCATGTATCGTTTCCTTTCCACAATCATATATTTTTTTCATTTCCAAACCATAGAAAAAAAAAGGTTAGATTTGATGTCATGACGATTTGATTTTTAGTGCAAAAAGTGAAATGTTTGTTTTGCTCTTTCTTGAACTTTTTAATATTAGATTACGTATGTTGTAGTGAAGTGTTTGACATAGTAACATCCAATAAAAGTACTAAGGAAAAGGCTTTTCTTCGACTGAAAAGTCTTCAATATTTCCTTGACATTAGTTTTTACTTTTCACACTTCAGAAAAAAAAAACAGAGCTCTTAAATTAATTGAGATCAACATGTTTAAAAGAAAATTTTCTAGTATGTTAACGTTACTCGACGTTTTTCGATCCTATCGTATTGTGGAAATAGTTGTGGTGGCAGAAAAAAGGTTTTCTGTAGTTTTTAGATCATTTACATCGAGAATTTTCTTAAAGTCAGTATGCTATGTTTCAATACTCTTTCCTTTCTAACTTTATTTATCTTTTTATTTTTTAACTCTCATCACAACCAATAATTATTTTCCCCTATCTATACAAGACATGGGAAAATGAAAATCTAAGTGATCTAAAAAAATTATAAAACAACAAAGAGATTAGACTACAAAATAATTATATTTTTATTTTCCAATAGATTTAAGAGTCTATTAGCATGCAAGATATTTTTTCTTGCATTTGAAATTGATTTATTACAGACATAAATTTTCCCTCGTGCTATGATTTGATGCAACAAACAGACTTAAATGTCAACAAAACATTGTCTGTCATAACAATGAAATATGATGAAATTATAACCAAGATCAAGCACTTTCTAAGACGTGGTTTTACAAAGAATCTGAGTTAAAATGTATTATTTTATGTTGGATGTTGTTCGGAAGCAACAATATTACTCAGAATTTCTCAAACCCAGTGAGGCCAAATGCTCGTGACGATAGTTCAAACATTATTATTGTTATATTGTACGGTGCAAATGATAATTTGCTTTTTTTATTAATGTCAGGGTCTCTTCTATACATCGCTGGCTGAGGCCTTTTTGCAGTTCATTTTTTGTCCTTTTTTGACGTTGTTATTTAAACGTAATTTATTCCAGCTCATTTCTCTACAGATGAATTTTACGTTTCCTCCACTTCGAGTTATGACGTTTGGTGTTGTGACTTTGCTTGCCTCAGAAGGTTCGTAATGTAATATATTGACATAGCTAATTCGTCTCAGTATTAAAGACACATTGAACATCATGGCCCTTCACAAAATAATTTTATTTCGCTTAGCACTCTGGGTGCTTGTACAATTTACAAGGCATTATATGTACTCAGTATATCACACGCAACGACGAACAAGTTTGGACACAGTGGGAAAAACGAGTAAAGTTACACTCTACAAGTAATTTGAATATATCAACAAAGTTCAAAAGGTGAATTAGCCAACGCTACGGTTATAAAAACTGACGTTTCGAGCGTTAGCCCTTCGTCGGAGCGACGAAGGGCTAAAGCTCGAAACGTCAGCTTTTATAATCGTAACGGTGGCCAATTTACCATTTCAACTTTGTTGATATATTCAAATTATTTCGTTACCCCCACCGACGCAGCGCCAAACAGTTTCTTTAGACTATCAGCCTTTATACACTCTAGAAGCTCTGGGAAGTCGAAGTAGGCACTTCGCACGGTTTCCCGATCTATTCAATGTATGCAATGCTCACTGTATGATTGTATAATGATGTATAATTCGAGGTTAATATGTTGACATAAAATGATTTTGTAATGGTGTTTTCTACAGGTACAGATGTTTCATGATCTAAATCATTGATCTTAAAGGATATTGAAAAACATGGTCAAGGGTGCATTGTCTTTTGATCATGACTATCGATGATTGATGTAATAAATAGAACAGCACCTTGAACTAAAGGGCATGCTACAAGTTAATTTTTTTTTTCAATCTGCTCACAAAATAGACAGTTTACACCTACGTGGATTCATGTCAAGTATTTTCTAAGTGATTTTGTTACTATTTCAGGGGTCACTCTCAGTCTCAACGAGTCAGAAGAATACAAACTTCGCTCTGATATTGTGAAGAATAAGGAGCCCATGGTCCGTCCTGTAAAAAACTACTCTGATGCTGTCAATGTGTCCTTCTCTATGGATGTTTTGACCTTGACGGACCTAGTATGCCAACATTTTAACAATGTTTTAATACATACTGTAAATTATTACGGATTAAAATTAAGAACAAAACAAAACAAAACAAACACGCCGTGTGTACCGTCAGCCTGCGAGGATCATCTTACATGGTTCAACGTAATGAATCACAGCATTATGTTTAAGCCGATTTGATTTCTTTCTCGGTCACTCATAACCCGCCAGCCACTTATAAAATTTGTGTTTCCCAGTCCTGAAAACTTTTAAAACTCATCAAGGTTGTCGATGCTGTGGTTAATTCTTTGTTTTATTTAGTTGAGGGATCGTCAAAGTCTATGAACTCTCCAACCTTTCCATTTGACGGGTAGAAAGGCATCGTCTCCTAGAGGTTTAGATACTGACACTTTATATTACAGCGCTCATTTTTGAAGGCCAATGCTGCTCTCAGGTTCCCGCATCATTACGTTGGTTACATTAACATGATATAGAAAAAGAAAAACAGATTCACTTTAAATCATTTGTTTCGTTACTCGGGATTTTACTGATTGCGTTTTTTTGCCATACCAGGATAGTAAGCGGCAGATGCTCTTAACAAATGTCTTGATCGTACAGGTTTGTTATATGACTACAATGAGCTCTGCATGGGCCTTCGCTCTTTAATATAGTTGTATATTGATTGTTTGCCAGAGTTTCATTCATTCACGCTGTCCTCCATTAATTGTTTACTCATTCATTCACTTATTTTTTTTTTATTTCTTTTAATCATTCATTCATTTATCTATTAACTTACTCATTAACTTGGCCATGAGAACAAACGGACAAATGGAAGATCAAGAGTGATGAATAAATAAACTTACGAGGTAGCAACCATGACAACCACAAATCCAAAATGGGGACATAACAACATTATTACATGATTACTTTCAACTAATTTCTCTCGGTTTCCGTATCATTAAAATTTGCAGAGGTGGCATAATCCGTTCCTCGAATGGAAGAAAGAAGTTTATGGAGGTATTGATCAAATCGTCGTGAACCCAACGGAAATATGGGTGCCAGATATTGTCCTCTACAACAAGTAAATTACTTTTTGAGTTTTAAATTTGTAGTGGTGTTATCCTCGATCCAATCCTATGCACAATCAGTCTGATGACTTTTGATTCCATCCATTCAA